AACCACAACATTTTGAAAACAGGTTTTTTTTTTTGTAGAGAAAATCTGAACAAAAAAGAATTGTTAGAAAAAAAAAATTGTGCCTTATTTGTGCTTTAATTTTTTCCAGAGATGTACCTCCTAACATTGAAAAGTGGCTGAAGGTTGTTGAAAATTTCAGAGGAAGTTCTACTTGATTTTCAACAGACCAACGACTGTGAAACAAAAACCACTAGAACTGGTCTATTCAACTTGAAACTATGAATCAAAACAGTGGATGAATTTTACGTTGCTAAATTTGCGTCAAACGGAGAATTCCAATATATTAAAATTATCGCTCATCATTATCATTCACTACTCACTATACAGTTGTAACAGTGATTGCCTCAAAAGGAAAGAATGAGTAAAATAGAGGATTTGATAGGCAAAGTAAAAAATATGATTTACAAATTAAAACTCCTCGGAAAATATCAGATTACCAATTCTGTTACCGCTTTCCTCCTTGCCCTCATTTCTTCGCTCAGAAAAAAACTAATGAAGCAGACAAATAAACAAGCATACGCATAGTAAATACATCCACCGTCTTAAAAAATATAACTTCAGATGCTGAAAAAAAAAAAAACTATAGCCAAACTTGTTCTGATCGTCACTACCAACACAGCATAATTATCCAGTTAGCTGTGCCATTGGTTACTTCGGATTTCCAGTTCAAGATTTAAAGTTGTCTGGGTGAAGTTAACTTAAACGACAGAATGCACTAAACAGCTCTACATAACTGTTAATGCTGTCATAGCAAATAGCCCGAGTAGTAGTTGAATATTGGTCGGCTACAAATTTACACCATCAACTGATTGACGATCCCTCTATTCAAATGTCAATTTTAAAAAATTACTTGAGAAAAAGATGAACGTAAAGTGATTGCGAAACAGTTCTTTTGATTACCAGCTGTCCGTTGTCTTCCTCTTCTTCTCCCCTTCTGTTATTTCTTATGTTTTACAATCATTTTCTATAGGAATTGCAAAATAAAATATGGAGAAAAAAACAAGTACTATTGGCATCATGCAAAAACAATCATTGAGTAAGTGGGGGATGTCGAGTGGAATTCGCTGAACAAAACGTCCTTGCGTCGCGAGATGGACAGAAGAAATATTAAAGTTAATTTTTTTTAATTGCATTAAGCATAAACTCGCAGTAAAACCAAAAAAAAAAAAAAAACACCAATCTAAGCTAAGACACCAAGACCAAAAAAAAAAAAAAAA